ATTGGTTCCAATAGATTGGGTGACCAATATTATTGGTTCCAATAGATTGGGTGACCAATATTATTGGTTCCAATAGATTGGGTGACCAATATTATTGGTTCCAATAGATTGGGTGACCAATATTATTATACAAAAGTTATTCAAAAACTAACCGATTGCCTTGTATTTTGAAGCCGATAATAGTACACAGCTTCTTGAAGACATGGAAATAAAACTACAAAAAACATGTAACTTTAATTAATAATGTTTAAAGACTAGGTTTTACTAACTGCATATGCCGGCATATGTGCAGCAAGAAATCGGCACATGTTTAACTTGACTTTCTAATCGATACACTTTCATTTGATATACGACAAGTTCATGTTAAGTGAACTTCGAAAAACGGATTTTCAGAGACCCCTTCCAGACCCGTATGTGAATCCTCCAAAAAACGGCTTTTAGGCATGAATAGTATTGGGTCCATAGATTAGAGCGGCATTATAGTTCCAACATCTGGAACACTATCGGACGAGAAAATAGAACTACAAAGTAGGCTGTTTTTCGTTTTCTATCGACTTTAGAGCTCAGCCGTGCATCAACCAAGAGACTTGTATGGATCGATTTCATAATTCATAATAGAAGTATACTTGTACAATGGATAGAAGTAGCACTCAATGCAATAACAAAGCTTTTAGGTCAAAAAAATTATGCAAAACTGTTTGTCTCAGCAAAATTCTACCATCTTGTGCGCATATGTTTGCACATATGTAAAGCTTATTTTTGCATATGCTCTTGATTATAGATAGTATTCGACCTCGACTACTTATGCTGCAAATACGAGCTCTTAATCAACTTCCTAGACCAAGATATAAACATCACAAATTTGATTTTATACAAGTATCGTTTTAGGCTATTTTTAGGGCTTTTACGAAAAGCTCTATAACTTTTTAACGAAGTAAGTCCGAATGAAAAAATTTGGGAATCTTCCTGTATATGTTGTCTCTACCTACGGTGAAGTCCTGAGCCCAAAACTCAAACATCGTTTGAGCAACTTTCGTCGTTTCACTCGTGCAGTGACTCTTAGACGTAAACGATTTTTAGGTGATAAAAAAAAAATGGAACGACGGGCCAAATATCTTGATAAGATATATTCAACTCAAGAAGAGAGTAGCTGCGAAGATGATGAACGTTCAAGTATAAAGAAAAACCTTACAAGTAAGTACAAGAAAAAATAGCTTGATTTGTAAAGTTGGCAAAATATTTTTTTTCTGTGGCATTTCAAGCTTATAATTTAGTGCCATTCGTTTTTCAACAGTCTTCTGATCGCTTTCTGTCACATTAAATGATGTATAACATTTGTTTCCTACCAGAAACGTGTCGCAAACGCAGGGAAGCGCGAACAGCGAAAGATTTAGTAAAAACTGCTCCGAAACAATAATTTCGTTTTAGACTTTTCTGATAGTTTTAGGATAAAGTCACTTGTACGATGCATACAATTCGCGCGTAAAAGTTGAAAACATTTTATGTTCTAGGACGTATGAACAGTGACGAAGAAGAAGAAAATTCGAACCAGAACAATGATGCACAAAGTACAGAAATTGCAGCTGAAACTTATCTTCGACAGATTGAAAATTTAATTGGTAATGAGTCGCCAAGGAATCAGGCGATGGATGATACGACCATAAATCAGACAACTCGTCGATCGTCGTTTGATATGACTCAATCACAGTCTCAGTTTGGATTCAATGATGTTGATGGCGACAGGCACGGGGAACAACAAGAAATAGAAGGTGAAGATAATGACGAGCAAGGGGAAGTAATGGCGGATGTCAATAGCGAACAGCAGGATGAAGATAATAATAATCAGCTACAACAACAAGATGGCTCTGAATCAGAATCTGAATCAGATCAAGGAGCTATAACAATGGCAAAACTAGCTTCGTTAAAAGAAAACGAAAATCATCGTCGTAAAAAATTAACAAAAAAATTGTCATCAAAAACAGTTAATAATGTGTCAAAAATGACTCCAGGCTCGTCATCCAAACAGAAGAAAACAAAATTGAGTGTTCAAATTAACAATTTGAGAAAATCAATTAATATTTTGGTAAATGAAGATTTTCTCCGTGAATCGTAGAGATGGAAGGTTCTTTGTTCGATAACTACTGCTAGCTATTATATCTTTGCCTCTCTGCTTAGCGTTTTACAAAAACAAACTACCTGAATATAGGAATTATTGAGATCTAGACGTTTTACTCCTAATTCAAATTTTTACTTTCATCCCGAACTTTTAATCACCGGAAAAAAATACGTGACATATTAAAACCCGACGCAAACGTTATGAATCAATTAGAAATTTGGCGGGGCACTGCAGTAGTATTTTTCTTCCCACATAGCTCAGCAACATGAATAGCTTTAGAATACTTTTTCTTCTTAAGATTGAAAATCAAGTACATCAACGAAGTAAGGATGACGAACCAGAGGATTTGGTATGAATAGTCACTCATAAATTATTATAATCTTTACAGACGTTTTGTTATTTATAGGAATCAAATGGTATCAATTTGTTTGATATACCTGGACGAACACCAACTGAATATTCATTAAATATTTTAAAAGAATTATTTTCAAGAGAAGAACTTCAAACAAGAAAACTACCGGGGAATCGGCTGTTGAAAAATTTAACAAATGAACAATTAACAGATAAACAACTGGATTCAGAAAAAATTGATTTACTAAAACGTCGGTAGCCTTCTGTCTAGACTTATCATGTATCACCTAACTGTTGTTTTCTTTTAAGGTGCAGTCCAAAAAAAATTTAAACTTAGAAAATCAATATTCGCAGATCTGTGGAAAACAAAATTATACCCATCGTTATCACAAAGGTGTTTGGACGTAAAAAATAAGAAAACTTAGTTATTCTTTTTTTTGTTTGTCGTATGAAAGTTGTGTTTTTTACGTGGTTTATGTTTTGTGAAATAAAAAGAACCGTAGTAAAGGAAGGAATCGCTTTGGACAAATAACAAATGGTGTTGAGCGAATCAATTCAATCAGTAATTTACGCTGGCTTTTTTCAAGACTCCAGTAAGATTTCAACAAGATTCTTATCAAATTCTTACTGATATCTTATTGATTTCTTATCAAATTCTTACTGATATCTTATCAAAATCTTACAAGTATCTTATAAGAATCTTACCGAACACTTATCATTTACGTGGGGAATCTTATATAAGATTTTTGTAAGACTGCCATAAGATTCTCATAAGAATCTGGTAAAAATCTTGTAAGAATCTTACAGGATTCTAACAAGATATTTATAAGATTCGATGTCTAGGGTAAAAGGTTTTGTTTCTTTCACGTACATGATAAAGTAAGTAAATCATATGATAACTTCTAAACAGTTCATCAGAGTTCTTTAATAGCAGCAGTCCGCTTAGAATAATAGCAGCAGTCCGCTTAGAATAATAGCAGCAGTCCGCTTAGAATAATAGCAGCAGTCCGCTTAGAATAATAGCAGCAGTCCGCTTAGAATAATAGCAGCATACACAATATAGTAGATAGTCCTCGCTTGTGTGATCTCGTTTTCTCTCAAGCAAGAAAGCATATTTTTTTCTATTATATATCATATTGAAGTTGATGAAATTTTGTACAAAGTGGCATGGATTGTTTACGATCTCTTGACCCATCGGTTCAGCCTCTGTAATTTTAGGTTGATAGCAGTGTTGATGCGACTTCCAAGACTAGTGACAGGTGACTTGGTTTCATAATCTCTGAAGTAAATGGCAACATATGTTATCGAACATTCGAAATCTCGTGGAAGTATTTCTTTTGAGGAAATGGTGCGCAGACCATCTGAAATTGGGTTCTGATGAAAATGCATCAGTTTAGGTATAACTGTGCAAGAGTAAAATACTCATATCTCGCGCAAAACTCAACTAAATCGCTCCGAACTTCTAGAACATGATCGAACGAATATATCAAATCAGAACACATGAAAAAATCTAAACTACTATATTCTGTTACGACGGAAATCTCTAAAATCTTAATAATAAAGAAATGCTACACGGTCAAACGTGTAGATGTATTGGACAAATAGTCGACAGGTATCTCGATCTTAACCGAAGTGGCAGACAAAAATGATTCTACGTTTGTCAGCAAATACAGACCTGGAATGGTTTATATGTAGAAAAGTGCAGAATTGAAAGGTCTATCCGAGGCGCAGAAAAACTAAAAACTAAATAACGAACGGTTTCTGATCAGTTCCAGTCGTTATCTTCTGAAAAATATATACGGCAGTTTTCTTGCAGAAACCGTCCTTTGTCCGTTGCCAATTAGTCTGTTTATTAAGAGAATACTAGTATATCAGCTGTCGGTCAACGTAAAATTTAATTTACGTTACAAAATGAATTAAATTACGTTACAAATGAATAAAATTTAATTTAATTTACAAAATGTATTTTACATC